GACTTGTCAAATAAGAGCATTCCTCGAAATACTCTTGTGCGCTTGTGTTTTTTTTTTTTTTTTTTTGTTTTTTTTAAGTTAATCAAAAAAAAAAATACACTATGTCCTATGTCCTTTATGAACCTAGCCACTGAATGACTTTTAATAACCAGTTCTTTTAGTGAATCAAAAACTGCATAACCATTGTCATCCAACTCCCAACTAAAGACTTTCATCAGAATCATACAACAGAACCTGTGTCATATTCACCGACAAATGATTTTTATGAACCGGTTTTATGAATAACTTTTATAAAATTGTTCTATTTTGCACATAAAAATATTAACATCATTCTCCAGAACTACTGTCTTGTGCCTGCCATTGAATAATCAAACAGTTACACAAGCGCTGAACGATATATCGTTAAAGTGATCATCGGTATCGCAATGTGTGCATCTGCAATAGTCACATTGCATAGATATGCAATGTTGAGTTGGGATTGCTGCTTCAATGTTGATGCAGTTTAACCACAATGGGTTAAAATTTCATAATTTGGATGTATTTAAGGCCTGAGAAAGACTAAAATATTCAGCGCAAAAAAAAAAAAAAGTTTTTTTCAAGAACAATTTTACTGAATTTATACAATGAAGACTTTGTAATTTAATTTTTACATTTACATGTACAAAACCATAAAGCATGCACGGCTTATTTCAATGTTATTTTTGCTTTATTGCATTTATTAAATGCTTGTAATTTGCCTATTACATATTTTGCATGATTCACTCCCCCTACACAGAATCAACTTAATCAAAATGACTAATTCTCACTATTAACTAGTGGCTGATTAGCATACATGTTATTGAGATATTGGTTGCTTTGTATTACTTATAAACTACATATTCTGCATGATCTTATTCTACATCCCTGATCCTTCCCAATGCCTAAAATACCCTAATAACCATTAATTAGGAAGTGAACATCATAGTTAATTGTTTGCTAATATCAAGAATTGAATCTTAAAATAAAATGGGACCTTAATTTTCAAATAGTGCTATTCAATCATTTGGTGAAATTGTAAATACATTATATCACAATGCATATTGCAGAAAAACAAAATATTGCACAGTCAGATTTTTCCAATATCATGCAGCCATAACTTACAGCTTGCAATTAATTGCACTCCTTTTTTTCCTTTTTTTAAGTTGTCAGCCACTGTCAGCATTTTTGATGATTTTTACCAAAATTTTTCACCCTCAGAAAACTGACTTTAAGGAATATAGGACCATATTACACATGAAATAATGCAGCATCTGCTTTTAAACAAACAAAATCCATTTTATTAAAATAATGGTCATATAAATAAAATCAACCATCAAATATAAACCATTTAAAAAAAGTTTTTTTTCCTAAGTAGTTTATTTTTATATAGTATATAATGCACACACACAACTACCTCCAGATTGATGGGGACGGATCCTTTCGCTCTGGCAAGCTCTGATAGTGCAGATACTATAAGCCATAGGAATGTTTACATGCAATCTGATCTACTCTATCTGATTGTCTTATATTTTACACCCAGGAGGCCCATTCTCATACAGGATTTTCTTACATTCTGATAACTCATTCAGTCATACCTGTCAACATTGGGATGTGGAAATATGGGATCCCAATTAAATAACAGAGGTGTCACTTTAAAAATGCTCTCATAATGAAAGCGTTTGATTGTTTTCCTAACTGTGTGTGCTCATTGTAGAAAAAACTTGTGTTTAAAAAAAAAAAAAAACTCACTCAAATCAAATCGTGTGTACATTTATTTACATCTATTTATCGTCTGACAGTCTTGTTTTAAAGGACTGCATAGGGGGGTTGATGGCGCTTGTAATGGAACAGAAGAAAATCCTGCCATTTTTATATTTATTTCAAAGTGTTTTCATGCCTAAATAAAATGAAAGCTCTGAAAAGATTCACCTTTAAGAGCAAAGGGTGTCCCCTGGTGGTTCCGTGGTATGGGTTGCATATAGGGACTATTGGCTCTTTAATGATTATTGCCATCCTTCATAGAAACATTGGAAAAACAAAAGAAATACGGGAAAATACCTTTACGGGATGATAGTGGGATAGTAAAATATGGGGGAATCCTGGGAAAAACATGAGGGTCGACAGGTATGCATTCAGGACATGTGCAATGGCTTGCCTTACTGTAATATACCTCAAATGTTTCAAAACGGTTGTTGCTAGATCAGATATGGTTGTGGCCGGAGTTAACCAAAATTATTTATATTATTTATTAAATTTCCCATGAACTGTATTTTATTAATATCTACCCCACCCCCACCCTATACCCAACCATCACAGTAACAGAAAAACAGTAGTTGTATCCAGGGATGGGCAAAATACATTAAAATGTATTTTAAAGTAAAATACCAAATACCTCAGTTTTATGTGTATCAAAATAAACTACAAAATACAGCAGCCGCAACAAGTATCAAAATAAAATACTGTATTTTGTATTTTTTAAATACTACAAAATACTTTTACAAGGGAACATGACATTATTTTTGCAAACCGTCAGTTAATAGGCATGTTGGATAAATCCCTTCACCATTAAACTGACTTAGAGAAGTAAACAAAGATTGATAACAACAGCGTTGTATAAGCCAGCTTCTCTGCACCTCATCACCTTTACTGTAAGAATAAAAAATCAATCCAAACTTGTTTCATTTTGATTTTAGTATAGATTTTGTACAAATTTCATACAGAAAGTCCTGTTTTGAAGATAATGGGCTTCTATTATTCAGATTTTCCGCAGATTTTCCACAGAATTCGGCAGATTTCTGAAGATTTTTAGCCCATTATTAATTCTGTTTATTTACTTGAGTAAATGTGTAAATCTGAATTTATTCAGTTTTTATTCAGTAATTTATTATTTTTTATTTAATATATTAAGGTTTTAGTTATGATACTCAGTTGGATTCTCCTAAAATAATTCCGCAGAAATTCGCAGATTTTTACCAAAATTCTCAGCAGAAATAACAAAAAACGTCCGCAGATTCCGTCTGGCCCTAGTTATAGGTGTGCTTTGAGAATAAACCAATCAGAGTCTCATCTCCCATTTCCTTTAAAAGTCAGTTGTGTCGTGCCATAGCGCATTTGCTATTTACATGACGGATTTTGTAGGTTGAAAAACTGAGCATTTCACTTGCAAGAAAACAGTTAAACAGAGCATCTACAGCGTGAGAATGAGAGATAAGCCTCCTCATTGTTTACTTTCGCTTTCACTTTGTGGATGGGGAAACTTGTATGCACAGACATCCATTAGCCTATAAATAATTAATTTTGTTTGCTAAGCGCAAAGATTTGCACATATGAGCGCAAATGCATTTGCTATTTAAACAGCGTGGCGCAAAACGTCAAAACGACTCTTGCACCGTGCCACATTGCACCGGGTGTATAATAGGGCCCAATCTCTTTAATCACTGTAAAAAACATTTAATTCAGATAATGAGTTGAAATATAGAACTAAATGTCTTTATTGTGAAAATTACCATCTCTTAAAATTCTTATTTTTCAAAATTTTTGCAATTGTAATAATCAATACTCAATGTAAAATCACGAGATCTCAAAATAATTGGGAGTTTTTGACCAGTAGACTGGAATATTATTTAATATTTTGTTGTGTACTGATTAACTATGTCAAAGTTTGTAATTAACTATAAATAAGCACCTGTAGATCGGCTGGCATTTAAAACAGCCAATTTATTTGTGTAGTTATGGCCACTGTAGGACTTTTTTATTTTGTTTGTCCCATTTTCCCATCTGATTTTTACCTGCTTGTGAATTTACCCTTGCTGTTTGTCTGTTGCTTTCTTTATGTGTGATGCATAATTTCCATCCCTTCTCCAAGCATTGATCAACATCTTCAATATAAATCAGATTTCTGTTCTGATCTCAAGCCTAGGCAAATAACTGAGAAAGCACCAATCTGAGGCTGCATCTTTATGATGTCATGTAGACTTCTTACAAAGTATTTTACAGTATTTTAAAATACAAAAATACTAGACACTAAAGTATTTTGATTCAAAATATAATATTTTCATAAACCCAATAAATTATCCAATAAATTAAATTTTTCAATGGCTACCCCCACCCCAACCCTAAACCCAACCGTCACAGTACTGTAAAAATAATAATTATTGTTATGCAGTGTCATAAAAACTTCTGCTACTATATATTGATGTGCATGTTGCACTTCCAGCCGGCCGTGTATCCTATCTAGACTTTACCATAAAAATCGTGCAAATGGCAAGAAAGTGTTCTCTGTAAATTGATGAGTTATCTTGTCAATGATGGAAAGAGTTAATAACTGTGGTTACTGGCAAGTTGTTCATACATTATAACAACGTGTAGCTAAGATGAATCAGAATCCTACATTTCCCTTTGGCTGCACTCCAGGATCAGAAACCGATAGAAATCCTCTATTTTTTCTGTAGCTCTTGAGGCTTGAAGCTCTGTCAAAATTCTCCTCACAAACTTGGAGTAAGCGAGTATAGTGGAAAGCAAAGACTAGACTTGTGTGATGTTCCCAGCAGGGGCATCGTCTTCATTTATATTTTGACCAAGTTTTAATGCTTGAAGTTTCTAGATAAGAACTGATTCTGTGCTGTATTTGTGCTGTAAAACCCAAGGTGTGAAAAATTGCCGTTGTATTTTTCCTGCCGGTTTCATTTACTTATAACACAAGAGCTGCTGTGGAGGTTTTGTATACAGCTGAAGTTTACAGTACATACATCAAGCGAAACAAACGTGTTCCACACATTCCAGGTGCTAACGCTGTGCCCTCAGCTGACTCTCGCACTTTTTATAAATACTTTAAAGCATTTTGATTATGAATGTAATGTAACGTCTTATGTAATGTTTAATTATGTAAAACGGTGTACGTGTTGTCCACAAACACGGCATCAATAATTGAGATTTTACAGTAGGTAGTTTGTCAGCTTCATGAGTTTTCTTGTCCTTCCCAGATGAACAGAAGGAATGGAGCGGGCCCTTTTATTTCATCCAGGCTGCAGACCCACAGCTTGGCCTGATGAAGGCATGGAGGATTGGTGATTGTGATTCAGGAGGCGATGAGTGGGATGAAGAGGTCCAGCTCACAAAGCAGGCAGTGCAGGCCATCAACAAACTCCAGCCCAAACCTCGCTTCATAGTGCTGTGTGGAGATCTGGTCCATGCTATGCCAGGTTAGACAACTTTTCTATTCAAGTTGTGATGCACTGCAAAATTTTCCTTTGATTTTTTTTTTTTCTTTAGATTCATTGATGTAAATAGGGTTTTTTTTTTTTTTTTTGTATTTATTTTTATTTATGCTTCAAATATTTTTGCTTTTAGGGTTTTTTAACAGGCTGATATGCATGCAAGGTCAAAAAGCACTTTTATTGTCTTACAATTTGCATTTATTTTTACCTAATTATCCCAGCGACTCCAATATGATTTATTCTGTGTATCATTTGTTCCCAAACCTCTCCTTAACACAATGCTAATTTGCGCTGATTGGTCCGATGACCCATTCTGTTGCGAATGCGATTGGGTGACTGCGTTCAGTGCGAGGCAGAGAGAAATGCCCACTACAGTTTATCAACATTATTGAAGCAATCAGACTGCAGACAATGGGCCCTATCATACACCCGGCGCAATGTGGCGCAAGGCGCAGCGCAATACTCTTTTGCTACTTTTAGCTTGGCGCAAGGGTCATTTTGAGGTGTTGCACCACGCTGTTTAAATACCAAATGCATTTGCGCTCAAATGTGCGCCCATAGGCGTTCTGGTCTAAAAAAGCAGGCGTGTTTTGGCGCTTTGCTATTTTGAGAAACTTTAAATAGTCTGCTCTTTAGACCAGAACAAAGTCGGTCTATTGTCTGGCACACAGTGCTCCTGGCTTACACACTACAAACAAGATGCAGAGCAATATGCAAATATCTTAACGTATGAAAAATATATAGTATCTTAAGGATATATATATATATATATATATATATATATATATATATATATATATATATATATATATATATATATGAGGATATATACAGGATATAAATATAAATGATTAAAATATTACAAAACATATTAATTTCTAGCCTACAGGAATTTAAAAACCACTGCCTTCATCTCGGGAGGCTTTTTCAGTTCAATTTGTTTTTTTTGCATAATGTTATTATTATTAGCAGTATTATTTATTATATCCATATTTATGTTTGTTTTATTAAAAACAAGCTTAGATTTGTCCACCTGTCAAATCTTAGACCATAGGCAGGTGTATTTGGAAATAACTCATTATGTTGACCACACTTGGTTATTATTGATCATTTATTTGTTTGCTAGAAATTAGAACTGAATTTAGAAATAGTTTTGAAACAAATCTTTGCGCTTAACAAATTAAATTAATTATTTATAGGCTTATTGATGTCTGTGCGTAAAGGTTTCCCTATCCACGAGAGCAAAAGTGAAAGTGAACTTACTTTAGGTCAAAATGCGCTTATGGCGCGACACAGCTGGCTCTTAAAGGGAATGGGAGATGAGACTCTAATTGGTTTATTCTCAAAACACACCTATAACTCATTAAGAAAATAAACTCAACCCTTTTAGACCATGCGCCATGGCGCAAAGCGAATTTTCCCATCCTTAAATTAGCAAAAATGCGTTCTAACACGCCCTGAAAGTGTTTGCGCCCTGCGTTTTGCGCTCTGCGCATGGACCGTCAAAATAGAGCCCTATATGTGTAAGCCCAATGCAGGAATGCAATAAAGCAATGCTGTTAAACACCAGCATATTGCTCTTATATTAACCATAAGTAAAAGCAGCCAGATTTCTGCGGCGCGGGAATAAATTTCAGAATAAATCGCGGAAGCGGTCGGTAACGGGTTTTAATTGGGACGGGAGCGGGCTGTCTAGCAATATCGCGGATATTGCCATGCGAGAGAGAGAGAGAGAGAGAGAGAGAGAGAGAGAGAGAGAGAGAGAGAGAGAGAGAGAGAGAGAGAGAGAGAGAGAGAGAGAGAGAGAGAGAGCGAGCTTTGCCTGTGTGTGTGCTTGGTGCTTGTGTGTGTGTGTATGTTAGTGCGCACGCGCGAATGAGAGAGAGAGCTTTCCCAGATAGCAAAATACACTCAGGCCAGTTCCAGCTAGATTCTCGCCTGCCGGAGACTTACCACTCAGCCCGGCCCCGGCTGCCGGACTCTAAATGCTTGTGGACTCACTGCCCGATTCCGGCCCGAATCAATCGGGCCAGATGCGGCGGCCGTAAGCGAGCTAACGCTGCCGCATCCGCGCCGGAATCGGCCCGACAGTAATGTGCGCTGTGCTGTGAAAAATGTAAATTCTGTCATCATTTTTTGGCTCATGTCATTTTAAACTTGTATAACTGTCTTTGGTGAAGCATAAAATATGCAGTATTTTCAAGAAGACTGGTAAATAAAAACAGTGGTCAATGGGAACCAGAAATATTTGTATGCCAATAATACCTCAAAATAAAAGAAATGCATACATTTTGGAATGACATGAGGGTGATTAAAAGACAGTGTTTTAAAAAGTGAAAAATTCACTATTATGCAAAATAATAGGAACATTAAAAAATAAAAGACATTATTGATTTTCTATATTTTACATTAATAGTTGTATTAAGTATGTTAAAGAAGTACAATTTTAATTTAAATAGTGTTTTATATTTATTTTATAAACTACTGATAATTTGTCTTCAAAATTTCAAACAAGATTATCATTATTTATAGCATTTGTTTGTTGAAAAGTTTTGCAAATTAGAAATGCTCTAGATGATAATGTTCTCATTTGAAGATACCCTTGTATTTATTTTGATGATATATTATATAAAAGTTTTATATTAATAATAACTAAGTTGTACTGCATGTTATATAAATATATATAGTTCACCCAACCGGGGAAATTGAAAATATTCTCACCTTTTCAAACCTGTTTGACTTTCTTTCTTCTGTTAAAAAAAAAAAAAACAAAAAAACTCTCTACTCTATCAAATGTCATCATCCCCACCAAAAAAAAAATTATCACAAAGCTTGCGCTACGCTTCGTTGTGACGCGTAAGTAAATTTTTTTGAGAGTTTTTTTTACTGTACATGTGCTCTTGGCAGAAGTACAGTATAATGTCATAATAATATAATAAGTAAAAATCATAATATTAAAAGTATAATTCAGCCTTAACAGATCAGGGTCACCTGACTACACACATGGTAGGAAAAGTAATATAAAAAAAAATTAACTAGGCATGGGCCGGTATAAGTTTCTGATGGTATAATAACTTTGGGTAAAAATATGTTATCACTGTATTTTGATTATTGCTCTAAAGTATATTGTTTTTAAATGTTTGGATAAAAAAACAATACGTTTTTTTCTGCTTTGAGCACAATGGCTGTGTTTGAATTTCCATAATAAATGATACGCTAAAAACAGTATGTGAGCTGAGTAATATGTCCGAATTCATAAAAAATTGAAAAACAGTCAGTAAATGCAAGAAGTACCTGGATGACATACTACTTTCTGTGAGATTTTGAAGTACTCATCTGATGGAGGCTACACTATCCCATGCCAAGAGAATTGATGAATGGGAGTAAAGTGGTGATTATGATAAAATGGCAGATGAGGTACATCCGATATATTTTATTTTGAGAAACATTTAAAATATTCTGGAACAGTAAACAATGTGTCCATTTCTTTTCAGCTGGAGATACTGTTGCCCTAAAAAAAGCAAAAAAAAAAAAACATTAAAAAAAAACTAATTTACATATACCGCAGGAACAGCATTACAGAAAATTTTGGCAGTTTTAAAACCTTGACTTGTCCAAACCACAGTATACCTTAAAAGCATTGTCCCATGCCTAAAATTTACCCTTGAAAAATTTGATCGATTATAGATTCTAAATATCGATTTTTATTACTTTACGTTAATCACCCAGCCCTATCACAAAAGTTTTGGAAGCACTTGAGGATGTGTAAACGGTGAGCAAATTTTCATTTTTGGATGAAATATTCCTTTAATAACACATTATCTTCATAGATTATAGATGAAGAACTGTGTCTTTGGTAATAAACATCAAACAGTTTCATATAATTGTTGACTACTAATCATTAAAAAATATATCAGTAATCTCAATATTGATTAAAATCAAATATTAAATTCAAGGTTCTTAAAAAACACGTTTATTAGACTAAAAGCCACTATTGTGCCGAGTAGTCCTTTATTCTTCCCCCGACTCTGATCTTTGAGGTGGCTGTTCGGAAATGGAGCTGTGAGCAATCTGAATGAGTCGACTACCTGAAATCTCTACACTTGTCTAATTGCCTGAGTTTAAACGGCAGAGCACACGGCTAAGAGAAAAAAAAAATCACCAGCAAAGACCAGATGACAGTTTTCCTGCATACATAAATATATGCTGACAGGAAGTCACCTGTGAGTGTGACAAGTGTGTTTATATATTTCAGGGTGTCAGGTCTCTGAGTCAGTGTTTCCTGTAAAGTCTTACGCTCGAGTGCCAATATCAAAGCGGCAGTACATTTAAAGCCATCATGAATGAATTTAAATCACCCAAATGTTGACAGTAACTGGTTTTTCAATGGCTGACTTATCAGATTATCCCTTTTTTGGAATCGGAAAAAAACTCTGAGGTGTCATATTTTCTTGATTTAAAATGAGTCCAGGTTTGTGGCTTCCCTGTTGGATGTAATTTATAGGTCATGTTATGATAAGCTGCCTGTAAAAGCTCAGTCATGGAACTTTATGAGGTTTGGAGACCTTTAAATGGCCTGGCGTCAACACCTATTAATGTCAGCCCAGAAGAGCAGGCAGAGGATGCCATATACATTACACTGCATGTCCGTCACTCAGCCCGTCTTCAACGTCTGCTCCACATGGGCTTCAGCAGACCTACACAACTTCCTCCTCACCACGTCTTCATTAAGCATAAGTCGGTGAGAGAGAAAAGCTTCCTCTGTGTTTTATTTGTGGTGTAGGATTGAAAAGTTTTATTACTAATGATTCAACAGTAAAAGACTGTATATAAGAAAGTAAAAATAAACGCCAACAGGAACATAAATTGGTCATAAATATTGGGCAAAGGCATAAAGGGGTTTGGCTGTTGTCTGATAGTGTTGGATAATGGCTGATTTTATCTAGGCAGGGCTGTGAACAGGTTTTGATTCAACTTGTTTTTTA